ATTGTTATTGATGTTATGATTATTAAATTATCATTAGAATATTTTAGACAATGAAATGATACAAAAAACCCTTTCCTAAAGTGAAGGAAAAGGGTAAACACGTGAAATAGGTAGTTCTTGATAACTGGCTATTTGGTGATTAAGAACTTGTGGAGCCATCTATGTGTAAATACAATAAATAAACGTGTATCAAAATGGGCATGGCATCTATTCTTGCCACGTGGGGCGAATGGGTTAAGAGATATTCATGAAAATCAATAGAGAAAGTGTGTGTGTGTGTGTGTGTGTGTGTGTGTGTGTGTGTGTGTGTGTGTGTGTGTGTGTGTGTGTGTGTGTGTGTGTGTGTGTGTGTGTGTGGGTGGGTGTGTGGGTGTGTGGGTGTGGGTGTGTGGGTGTGGTGTGTGGGTGGGTAGTGTGTGTGTGTGTGTGTGTGTGTGTGTGTGTGTGTGTGTGTGTGTGTGTGTGTGTGTGTATGTGTGTGTGTGTGTGTGTGTGTGTGTGAATGAGTGCATGGGTGCGTATGTGCGTGTGTGTGTGCCTCAGGATCGTGTCTGTGGGTGTAGGTACATGTGCATAGAAATGTGCATATGTGTTTTCATGTGCATGTGCATGTGTATCTGCATGTACATATGCATATGTGTATATATGTGCTTGTGCTTGTGGGTCTACATGTGAATGTGCGTCTACATATGCATATTCATATGCACATTAAGGAAAAATAAACAAATAAATAATTAAATACCATACTTACCATCGATTTCGGTGGCTTCCTCACCATCAGCATTTGCTACAGTGGTGGTGTTGGTGGTGGTGGTAGACATAGTAATAGTAGGACTCTGAGTAGTAATGCTGGCAACCCCTTTACTTGGGCTAACAGTGGTACGAGTAACTGTCGTTGTCGTGGCTGTGGTCGTCAGGACTGTCAGGTCTTGCGCAGGCTGTCCTTCATACTCTTCCTCTTCTTCAGGCTGTCAAGTGCACAGCAAAATAAGTATAAATAGAAAGGTAGAACATCAAAAGTATGTTACTCTTCTGGCTTTTATATCTTATTAGTGCTCTAATACATCTTGTATGATCTACATATATAAAGCATTACTTAGACTTAACTACCTACTACTTCTTTCTTTTTACCAATGCAACAGGAAGTATGCTGCTGTGAAAAGAATCAAACAAATAATGACAAACTTTTTATGTAATAAACAATTCAAAGCACTATAAGAACTTAACATTATACCAAATATCATACTGTAGTAAGCTCAGATAAAATCAAAGTGTAAGCAATATGATACAAAATTTATACTCCACACAAAAACAAAATGGCAACAAGAGAGAAAATCCCATAAGAATACAAAAAAGTAGAGATGATTTAATAAAGAAGGAAATATATCAAGCAGACTAAAGCAATACCATCAATAAATGAAGTGAATAAACATAAAAATACAACTAAAACTCTACCCAGTGTACTTCTAAACATAATAGCTTCAACTTATCTCTCTAAAAAACGTTCATACACTATTTAGATCTACTTTCCATATAATTATGTGGCAGATAAGAGAGCTTAGATTATAAAAAATAAAAAGTTAAATCTAATCTTTTAAAAATCTTTTTACATCCTTGTCCTTCTTTCTAATGTCACATTATCTAACAATATTTATTTCTTAGATTGAATTAACACATATTATAATCAACAAAATCTATAACACCAAGTACAGTAGTAACAACATTGTTGATTTGTTTCATCTCAGGCATAAAAGTTGCATCAATATTCTCCTAATCAATCTAAAAAAATGCTGTGTACAGGAGCAAAATATTTGGTGCAACAAAAGTGCTTTTACAAATAAATATGTGAAGGAATAAGACACTGACAACAATGCTGATAGAAAAAAATATATTGTTCAGATTCATGCATTGCTTTGAGCAGTGGCTCAATAGCCTCTGAGTACAATACCTGTACTATTAGTTCCTTGTATTCACCACTGGGAGCTCGCTGAACCTATTCATAATAATAACCAGGGAAAAGGGAGCTATTACTGAAGGCTGATCATATGACCTTGTATATCAACTTTATGTACCAGAAGGAAAAAATATATATATTCTCCTGTATATGTATATATATATACATGTATATATATACAAATATATATAAATAATGTGTGTGTGTGTGTGTGTGTGTGTGTGTGTGTGTGTGTGTGTGTGTGTGTGTGTGTGTGTGTGTGTGTGTGTGTGTGTGTGTGTGTGTTTGTGTGTGTGTGTTTAGTGTGTGTGTTTAGTGTGTGTGTTTAGTGTGTGTGTTTAGTGTATGTGTGTTTGTGTGTGTGTGTGTGTGTGTGTGTGTGTGTGTGTGTGTGTGTGTGTGTGTGTGTGTGTGTGTGTGTGTGTTTGTGTGTGTGTGTGTGTGTGTGTGTGTGTGTGTGTGTGTGTGTGTGTGCGTGTGTGTGTGTGTGTGTTTGTGTGTTTAGTGTGTGTTTAGTGTGTGTGTGTGTTTGTGTGTGTGTTTGTGTGTGTGTGTGTGTGTGTGTGTGTGTGTGTGTGTGTGTGTGTGTGTGTGTGTGTGTGTGTGTGTGTGTGTGTGTGTGTGTGTGTTTGTGTGTGTGTGTGTTTGTATTTGTGTGTGTGTGTTTGTGTGTGTGTGTGTGTTTGTGTGTGTGTGTGTTTGTGTGTGTGTGTGTGTTTGTGTGTGTGTGTGTTTGTGTGTGTGTGTGTTTGTGTGTGTGTGTGTTTGTGTGTGTGTGTGTTTGTGTGTGTGTGTTTGTGTGTGTGTGTTTGTGTGTGTGTGTTTGTGTGTGTGTGTGTGTGTGTGTGTGTGTGTGTGTGTGTGTGTGTGTGTGTGTGTGTGTGTGTGTGTGTGTGTGTGTGTGTGTGTGTGTGTGTGCGTGTACATATATTCTCGTAACTCTTAAAAATTATACTTTTCCTCAAATTGTTTTGGTGTGCAAATTATTTAAGAAAAAAAGGAAAAATAAATTATATATATTGCAAGTGTCTTATTGTTCTCCCAGAATCAGAAAGGTATTCCAAGAACAAAGATATAAACAGATTAAATGAAGAAAAACCATTATAAGAACATCATATATTATCAATTTTAATTTAAATCTCTTTAAATCAAGAAAGTGTTTCATCTTAGCGCAATACTGACAGGCATGGCATGTACATATATGCCAGTCACCCATGAGCCAGTTATAAGTATTGTGTTATCTTATTTATCTGTTACTAATGTTTATAACATTAAAAATAACGACATCGTTGTGCTTAACATTAGTAAAAAATATGTTTTTTCCGCCAATTCAAGGTAAGGTGAAATTACGTAATGTCACAAGGTATACTAATTGACTCCTTTCTGGCTAAGCACTAGCAGAGCCATCTTTGTGCAGAGACATTTCACAAAAAAAATTGAAATGAGCACAGCATTTCCCCCTGCAGCATGTGGTTATATTAACCCATTCGCCACGGATTTATGTTCTGTCCCCTGTAGTTTTTGGTGAATTTTGTTACATACAGATGGCTCCACATGTACTCAGCCGGCAAGGAGTCTATCAATAGGCCCTAGTTACCGACCCTGATTTTCCCATTCATTGAATTGGTGGGAAAACTAATACCATTGCTTTCGATATTGTTATTATTGTTATTGATGTTATGATTATTGAATTGTCATTAGAATATTTTTGACAGTGAAATGATACAAAAAACCCTTTCCTAAAGTGAAGGAAAAGGGTAAACAGGTGAAATAGGTAGTTCTTGATAACTGGCTATTTGGTGATTAAGAACTTGTGGAGCCATCTATGTGTAAATACAATAAATAAACGTGTATCAAAGTGGGTATGGCACCTATTCTTGCCACGTGTGGCGAATGTGTTAAGAGCTGCTAACTAGGGTGTGGATGACTCATTTTTAGTAGGAATGCTTCCAAGAATTACTCATACTTGACCCTGGTTCAAATCCTGTGGCCTGACTATGTTCTTATTCTAGTGGTTACAAAGTCACTTTGACTATCTTCTTGTCTTCTGCTTCCTCCAAAGAAGAATCCTTGATAGATTTGAAATGTCATGTTTTCTCATTATGTTTTTTATTGTAGCTGTCATCAAATTTTTTTTGGAAATTTTGTTACCATTGGCCAAAAATGCTCCTAACATAACCCTACACTTCAATAATAATACTGAAATAAAATGTTCATCAAAATATTCCTCACTTCACATTTTTGTCTGATTCCTCTTAGGATATAAAACATATTGTTCACTGGATATGGATGAAACTCACCTGAATCACTTTCTTGGCCAGTTCCTTGTGAGCATTTAACAGAAAAGACAAAATTAGGTCACATTCACTGCAGTTCCCAAAGGATACCATCTGTGACTAATAATTATGCAGAGAAGCTGTGGGGAAACTTACTCAGGAGATTAAACATAATTAATACCTATGATATGGAGATGGATCTGCCAAGCTAGCACACATCTTAAGCCATACAGCAATTAGGCATCTAGAATCAGTAGTCTAATTAACAGTACATATTAAAATCACACTTTCAAAACAAGAAATAAAAGAACAACACAGTCACATCCACAATTTAGCTACTTTATTTACATAAATGCAAGACATGCATGTTAATTTACATCTATGCCACAATGATGCAGATGCAGGTACATCTTTATCCTTAAAAATATATTTAAAAAATAATATAACTGACATCAATGTTTAGTAACAAAATATATGAAACTCAAAATAATTCAAGAAATATGATATATACTTCTTTCTCATATTATTATCAACAGAATTTTCATACACATATTTCCCTCCTAAAATGGGGAATCATATCTATAAATTACAAAGCCCTCATTCGCAAACCTGCATTCCTACTATACATATCCAGTTCTTGAGAAATAATAATACAATCATACTGCATTCTCAGCAAAAATTCAGAAAGGTAGCCAATTTCAATAGGAGTGTTATGTACAGCGGGGAACAAATGAAAAGTTAACAGAAAAATCAGCACAGTCCCTCATACTGGGTTATGTGAGCTTGCCAGGAGCCACTGCTGTTACATTATAGTTATCAACAGCCACATAACAATTATCTGAAAATCAAGAATCTGACCAATACAATTCTGTACATGAGGAACATGTTTTCTTTACTGGAGTAAAAAAATACATGTTCTGAAATAAATGTTTTTCTATCAAACAGATTTCCTTTTTGTGAATTTCAACATCCAGTAAATTGGTAATTTATGGAGCTATAATAAATTAAGGAGTTACTAATGTGTGAAAAGTTACAGAAAATAAATGCACTTTTACGAGAGAAGTGTTATTTTAATGAATGGCTCAAATATTATTATTATTACATAACTATTACATTTGTAAGATTGCTTAAAATAATACCTAGCAATCATTTCTTATTCTCTATTTCTTCTATAATCATATATTTCAAATATCTTATTTCCAAGAAATGTTTTTCTGAAAAGATACATTTGCAATATGAAGAGAACTACCGCACCAAGAACTGGATGAAGTTGTAGAACAGGTAATGCCTGCATGGGCTTTCAGATTTATTTCTATATTCATACATTATCTCCTAAGCAAAGGAAGAATTAAATTATGGTAACATATGTAGCCTGCCCTGAAAAGCTAATCATTTCCCAAGCATAAAAAATACATAAGTACTCTATTCATAAGTACTTTATTCTTTTTTTCTTTTTTTTATTTACAGTAAATTAAACTACACTCTCTAACATCTGCATCTAAAGAGTAAAAAGTAAGAAGTTGAAAAAGAAAATAAGAAAAAAATGATAATAAAATAAAAATAAAGTAAAATACAGTGGATCCTAAGTAGCAGTTATGGTTATGTTATTTCAAAACACTAACAGACTACAAAACTTTAAATCTCTTGTACAGTATTCATATATTTTTCTTACCTTCCGGGAAGCGTGGATGATCATGGTAGACTTGCTTGCATTATTAGCAACCACTACTTTCTTCTCCTCAATGTCTCTCAGTGCTGCAGCAGCTACTCCATCCCCTCCATTCACAATAACATCTGTTTTGAAGAACAAGAGATGAAGTGTAATAAATTAGTTATAGGATGAGTAACATTCACATAATAGCATCTTGAAAGCTCACCAGGCCCAAGATTTTTTTTCAATATTGGTCCTGTACTGGGAATATCCAAACTGTATATTAAATCAATTTACAACAGAACATAATTAACAATTAAATCTCAAATACAAATGAAGAAGATATAAAAAAAACTCCTTATGATAATGAACTTGAAAATGATATCTGCATAAGTTATCAACATTATGAATCTTTAAACTCCTTGTAAGAGGTAAAACATTTATATTTGTGCAAAAGCATCTACTTCATACATTTTCAATGAAAATCTTAAGTCAATATTTCTTAAAAATGTATGAAACACTTCTTCCTTCATAAAGCATTCCTGTCTATGAGTGCTACAATAAAATAATGAATGCATATATTCAATTACAAACTAATAACCACCTATTTCCTACCTAAAATCCTACATGCTCTGAGCAAAGCATTCACTACTATTTAATATCTTATCATTATAATGCTGTTTTACCTAAACTTGAAACCAAAGAATATTCATAAAACAGTTATATCTCCAATATCTACATCAATACATAATCCCTATCGATTCTATATATAAAATCAATAGGTGTACTAGGTGAAAGAAGTTATTGTAAAGTCTGTAGCAAACCATTCAACATTTTACAGAAAATCTTTAAAATACTGTTCAAAGAAACTTTATAAATCAATTCCAATATCTACATGAATTTTGCCTTTTATTATTATTTTTTTTATTTTCAAACCCATTCACGCCAGGTGTCACATATACATGACATGGCCACTGTGAGTTTACTTGTTTAATTGTTTTTACATATAGATGGCTACACTTGTACTTATACTGCCTGTCTCGCCTTTACCCTTTTCTTTTATTTACAAACATATTTTACGTTATCTTATTTTGCTGTTACAAATGTGCATAACATTACAGTAATTAGAATGTTTATAATAAAAATAACCATCGATAATCATAGCACTAGTGAAAAATACATTTTCCCGCCAAATGAAATCAGGTAAGGCAGAGCCATCTATGTGTAAAGACATTTCACAAAAAGTATAAAAAATGAGCACAGCATTTTCCCCATTTTTTTTTCATTTACAGTAAATTAAACTACACTCTCTAACATCTGCATCTAAAGAGTAAAAAGTAAGAAGTTGAAAAAGAAAATAAGAAAAAAATGATAATAAAATAAAAATAAAGTAAAATACAGTGGATCCTAAGTAGCAGTTATGGTTATGTTATTTCAAAACACTAACAGACTACAAAACTTTAAATCTCTTGTACAGTATTCATATATTTTTCTTACCTTCCGGGAAGCGTGGATGATCATGGTAGACTTGCTTGCATTATTAGCAACCACTACTTTCTTCTCCTCAATGTCTCTCAGTGCTGCAGCAGCTACTCCATCCCCTCCATTCACAATAACAT